TTATTTTACTCACTATTTTCTTTCTCAGCCTCTCTTTTTAGCCAGTCCCTGTTACTCCCCCACCCTCCCACTCCTCATCCCACCCACCCCTCCAAGAATCCTCCTCACCCTCTCCCTCTACCCTTCCAATCCCAATCCATACATCCCCTCCATAAATCCCTACCTCATCTCTCCCCCTACCTTCCCAAATCACAAACTACAGACCCCTCTAAAAATCCCTCCCCACTGTTCCTGAAGTATCAAAAGTCAACCTAGTAACTAAGTGGATATTTCTGGCACTTCTATAATGATGCTGTCTGCACTTTATCTTCAGACTGGCTTATAGTCTGAATCTTGATCTGATGGATGGTTCTGGCTAGCTAGTTACCTATACCCTCTCATTCTCTATAGATAGTCTTCATTCTCTTAACACCTCCACAACTAGAGAATGGCTGAATTTCTTTTCTTGAAATTGGGACGTGCTAGAAAAATCTGAGACATATGATCACCATAGTTATTGGAAAGTAGGGATCAAGAAAAGCAATTTGGGATCATCTTTTAGGTGACTCAAAACCATGGTATATGAGAATTGAAGAAACTAGAGATATTTAGTTAGAAAAATAGTTGATTTAGAAGAGGGAAGAGTACAAATGTAATATGTAATGTATAATAATGTAATAATAATAATTATAGCTAGTATTTATTTGGTGCTTTTAAGATTTTCAAAACACTTGACAAATATCTCATTTGATCCTCACAATTTTGTGAGCTGAGTGATATTACTATCCCCCTTATATAGATAAGAGAATGGAGGCAAACTGAGGTTGAGTGGCTTTCCTAAGGTCATATCTGAGGCTGCATTTGAACTTATAATTTCCTAATACTATGTCTAGCACTCAATATACTATGTCACTTAGCTGCTTCAGATGTCTAAAGTATAGTTATATGGAAAAGGGATTACTTTTCTTGGCCTTAAAGGGACCAGAAAGGGAGGCATATTTTAGTTCAATATGAAAACTTTCCTAACAATTAAAGTCATCAAAAAATATAGTAAATAGTGATTTTCCTATTGCTGTAGGTGTACAAATCAAGTCTGTATATCTGCGTATTAGGACATACACTTTTGATCAAGCTGGCATTCCAAAGAGGAGATTTTTGGCCTAGGTATGGGTTAGATCAGATGATGTGTTAAGATGCCTTCTAACTTTGAGATTCCAAGATTTTGTGGGATGATTTCCCTTCTCCAGTTTGTGGTTTGGGCCAATTATATTCACTATAATATGAGATAATATGCTTTAGAACTGGAAAAAGAGATGTTGAAGACCCAGTTCTTAATCTAAGAAAAGCAATGCTTATTTGTGAAGCAGGTTTTGACCATCAGATAAAACATAATCATGGGGAAAACTGGTCATTCTTTATTTTAGATTTAATCTTTCACTATTAAGGCCACTTGAATATCTTGTTTTTCTTTTTTATTTTCTGCCTTATTCCCCATTGGAAACATAAAAGCAGAAACAACTTGAACAAGATAGAGCTGGTTACCTAACAGGATGTAGCTGGTTTTAACAGGTCTTAACCACACCCTTGTGATACTTCAGTGAACCACACCCATGACAAAGAAGGCATTAAAAAAATTATAGGGATAAACTAGCTCTGCAATTAAGGACAGTCTGAGGCAAGATTGCACAACTGAAGCTGAGCTCTGATGGTACTACCCCTGGGTTAATTCTAAAAAAAAAAGTATTCTAAATATAATTCAGATTTATTAGATAAATAATCAAGATTAGGTAAGCTGAATTTCCCAAATAATGGGGGTAATCTTCACTTGTGGTGTTGAAGATATGGTCAACTAAATGATTGGTAAACAAAATAAATCAAGTTATGACTGTGTTTTAATTGAAAATGGAGAAATTAGGATTCATTAGACCACCCTGTGCAAAGTAATTTATAGGGTGCTTTAATGTTTGCAAAGAATTTTACAAATATTATCTCATTTGATTCTAATAACAACCTTAGGGGTTATTATGATCATCCCCATTTTACAGAAGAGGAGACTGAGGCTGAGAGAATTGGAGTGACTAGCCCAGAGTGATCCAGTTACTATGTGGTTGAGGCCAGGCCATGCCCATGTTATGAAAGAAGTATATACACATTTAGAGATAAAGGTACAAATGAACTTTGAAAAAAAATCAGCATCTATATGCAGACAGGATTGGAATGGGGCAAAGGTTCAAATGTTTAATATGCCAGTGGTTATAGACTTTCTATACTTGATACCAGCCTATACTGTGACTCCATTTTCTATTATTTTCATTATAAATTGTTTAAATGGGAATCAAATATAAGCTAAAACTGCATAGTGATTGTTACTTTCTCATATAATACTGGCAAACAAATCTATTTATTATTTTTTACATCTTCTAACTTTTATAGCTAAGAACAAGTCACCTTTTTTTAGCGGTAGCCTAAGAATCCATGCCTGCCTTTAGATTCTATGGTTCAATGACTCTTTGACAGGTATGTTACAGAAAGGGTTCTTGTTTTTGTATGTTCAATGCCTGGAACAGGGCTTTGCATAGAGTACATGTGTTTCAAAAATTCTAATTGAAATTATTGAATTTAGATATGATTTTCTTATTCAACTGAGATGTTGTGAGGATTTTCACCAAAGGATGAAGTCTGCTTTAGGAAAAAGTGTGTTTAATTAAATATATCACTTGAAAAACACTTAGTTGGTTTCTATCTGTGATAAAACATGCTTTCTGAATAAAACACCTGAGATACTCCCTCCTTTTACAAAATTTTGTTTTTATTCAGTATGTACAAAGCATCCCTTTCACTTAATTGTAGTTAGCTTGCACATGCATATTGGAAAAAGGTCATGGCAAACTACTCATTTTACTGCTGTGTAAATGCCTCATTTCATGTCAATGTGGTTTTACAATTTAAGTCCCTAAAATATCCTTAAAAATCATTCTAGAAAATCACTACATTCACTTAAACTATACTTGGCTTTCTACAATTTGCATGAGTCTTACACCTACTTAGTACTGCCTTCTCAGTTACCTATGTCTTTTTTTTTTACCATTCCCTATATCAGTGAGAAAATATACCTGTAGTCAACAGTCCCATGGTCTTCACAAATTTTTGTGGCTAACTGACAAAAAGTAGTTAGAATGTGCAAGGCAGGATATTCCCATGGTTTATTAATCTCCTCCAATTTTATTTGTCTGTTTATGTCTAGACTTTAAATATATGGACTAGACCATTTTCTTTCTTTTTTTCTATTTTTTCCAAGTTTAATAAACTATAACATTGGAATTTGCTTCCCTTTTAGTAGTTATTAAAAGTATATTATCTATAGTAATAATCTAAAACACCATAAATATATTTTCTTGAAGAATTAAAAAAAATATTTCAAGTTATACAAAAATACCTACATTTAGTGAACCCAAGGGATTACAAACTTTGAAGGGTTAATGAGGAACTTGATATTCTGTAAAACTCATTTATGATAATTACACTTAATTTTCATTCACTTCCATACTGCCACATAATTCTTCTCTATGAGTAAGAGATACTTGGGGACATGAAGTAGGGTGAGGATGTCTCTGGCTGCAAATGTTTGTTCCTTCCCATAGCTGTGTGTACAGATATCCCTTTGAACTCCGTGAAAGTTGTACTTAAGAAAAAAATCACATGTAATTAGTAACAATAAGTCTATGTGCTTTAAATAGTATCATAAACTTTAAGATACCTTAACAAAATTAATTTGTACCAATACCTTTTTAATGAAATTTTAGAAAATTCATTAATCATGGGGCTGACTCTGTATTACCTGAAATTTTGGTTAACTGTTCCAGAAAAACTTTATATTGCCAATGTTCATTTTTTCACCATACACACACGTACATATATACATACATACACATGACAATACCAATAATTGCTCCCATAAACTGTGATTGTAGAGACCTAGAGGTAACAATTTTTTTAGGTCCATGGGTACCATGGGTCCTAATTTCCCGAATCAGTGCTCTTCAAAATGGGTCCTACTGACCACTGGTAGTCCATGAGGATCTTCCTAATAATTTGTGAGCTTGTCTCTTGAGAAGACCTGTGGCCTAGTCCAGGCATTGTCATTAACTTGCTAAGGAAACTTAAGTAGGTCATTTCACTTTTTAGAGCCTCAATTTTCTCATCTGTCAAAGAGGAGGGGTGTACTTAATGATTTCCAAGGTCCCTTCAGGTTCTTGGAGTTTAAGTAGATTTATGTTCTTGGATTTTGAATGTGTACCAGTAATTTAATTATGATATCCTCACTTTCACTTTTGTCTTTATGACTAGTGCCTAGCATAATGCCTGCCACAAAGCAGATACTTAATAAATGCTTATTGATTAATATTTCTCATTTCTTAAAATTACTTACCCATTCCCACTTTCATACTTGGCTACTTCATTGCTAATGTCATTTTTCAAAGTGGTAATAAGACAGGTGAGACAGGTTGAGATAGGATCAAGGTTTGTTGTACTAAAGCATAGCCTAGACAAGTTTGTGCATTCTGCAACACAGTTTTGCCAATGGGTAAGTAATTATTTATGTTTATAAATTATTCTAGAATATTGATTTTATTATTTTGACATTTGGTGCTCCTCCCCTGGCATAGCCTATTATTTTAAGGTAGACTAGAATAGTTTTCTGAAAGGCTGTGAATATACCCCTGAAAGCATACAACTTTCTTGTAGGAAGAAAAATCTTCCCTAAGGAAAAAAAGAAACACGAATAACATTAAAATTACAACAAATTAGTAATACATAACCTCTCAATTTAAAAGAATCGACTGTATTTTGCCTTTGAACAATATGCAACCATTGTCATTGATATTATAATGGGATTTACATCTGTGAAAGGCTGTAAATAATCTGAAATTTTAATTCTTATTGATTAAGAGAATTGATGCATACGTACACCAAAACCACACCATACTGATATACGTTTAGGAAAAAAAAAACTACAAAGAAAAGGAGAAAAAAGTAAATTTATTGCAAAATACAGTTCTTTCCCACCCTACCACTGACTATTTGTTCCCTTTGATACCTGTTTTTAAGGATTGAGACACTAGAAGTACAGAAAATAATTGTATAGATTAATAAGTCTTAGCTTATTAATTTGTAGGACATCTTAAATTCTGAAACGTCTGCCATAAACACATTATAATTTCAGTCATGGCACTGTCTTCAGAATCACATTAGTTTTTAACACAGAATATAAATTGGTATTTCTGAGAGGTAAAAACTAATGATATCCAAGTGTTTTTTAAAACAGTGAAAATCATCTCAGAATTCCTTTGTCTCCCAGACTTCTGCACAATTTTTCCCCCCTGAATTTTAACAATGGCTTCTCTTAGTTGAAGCAGAAATACATCTTTGAAACATAAAATTTTATGTTCACATTCATGAAAGTAAATAAGCTGTAGTAGATAATGTGCTTGATTTGAAGTCAGGAAGACCTGGGTTCAAATCTGATTTCCGACATTTATTGTTAGTACAAGATATGAAACCTCTCTGAACCTCCACGACAATGAGCTAAAACTGAGCTGTAATCTGCCTTGGTGGAGGGAGATCCCACACCACCAAAATCATTGGTCTTTTATGCAATGATGTTTAGACACACACTTCCACTCTTGTTCCTTCCCTAAAACAGCTTTGAGGACAGTGTAGTATAGAAAATAAAGCTGGGAATAAATTAATGGTGCAGCAGTTACCTTTTTCTCCTTATTCAGAAAACTTTCTCCACAAAACTGCATGCAAATAGCTTTTCATGTTGCTAATTAATCCTTATCACATTCCTACCAGTACTACCATCTTTCCTGGGAGTTACTGTACAAATTAGATGCAGAAATGCCTTTGGAAATGTCTTCAGTGTAACAAGTCAGTTATAGTTGTGTCATTTATCATATCTTAAGCTTGTTATTTAAAAATGTTATTTCACATGTAGCATATGTATAACATTTATAACATCATATGTAAGATATTGATTTCTTTCTTTTGCTCCAACATCCACTTTCATTTTAAGGAACACACAGACTGGAAATTGCCACTGAGGAGAAAATGAGGCAACAGAAACAAAAAAGCCCAACTAGGTACCCTATTCACTATCTAACCAATTAATTGACAAAGAGAAACCTTTTTTTCTGGACAGAAAATCATCTCCAGGACATATGCAGTTTTTATCCATAGATATTTCAAGTCTAATAATAAAATCTCTTAACAAATATTTGTTTAAAAAAAAATCTCTGCTCTTTTCTGGACTGATGTATAATTGAGAAGTTTAAAACTAAAACAAAATCACTTGAATAATTTTACATATATACATCAGTTTTAATTTTTTTTCATTTCCTGAAAGAACTTAAAAATTGGTTTTATTTTCATTTCTCTGACTGTAGTAAGGAAATTTCAGTAATCCCAATGTTCTTTTCTTATCTCGTTTTGCATTTACACAATGCCTTGTACACAGAGGGATACAATAAATTACCTATGCCATATTCTAATGACAAAAATTCGGTTGTGAATATATATATATATATATATGAAGGAGAATTACACTTATTTCAAGCCAGCTCAGCTATCTGGGGTAAGATGCTTGAAGCTGACCTTTGATTGTAAAGCCAAAGAATCCACAAAGGAATATTGGCAGTTACTAGTTAAGGGATAGGACCTGTGATTTCATTGGTATAAAGAACTCTCTGGAGAGGAAACTCCTTCCACTGTACAGCTATGTGCACCTTCTCTACGATATATAGTCCTTAGAGAGCTGCCTAGGGCACTGAGAAGGTAAGGATCACCCAGCCCGTATGTATCAGGGTGAAACGTGAATCTAGACCTTCCTGTTCCCAGGACAGCTCCAACATTTCTCACTTCTTTCTTGGATATTAAAATTCTTACATTTATATTAATTAAATCAGAGTGAAAGGACTCACTCATAATTAAACAAGCTTAAAATTGATATTTCATTACCCTTCACAATCTATTCATTCCCCAGGTATCTCTATTCATAGAAAAGAAACATAGTATATAAGATTGCATAAAATATTCCAAGTGGATTTCACTTGCTTGTTCTGTATTAAAGCATAGCAAAGAGAGACAATGTGTTGTGTTAAGTGAAAAAAGGGAATAACTGAAAACATTTTAAAATGAAAACTGAGTCAAACCTTGATGAAATTTACCTTTTGTAAAGAGAAAGAAAGATGAGGGAGAGACAGAGAGACTGCTATATAGATCGAGAGAGAGAGAGAGAGAGAGAATTCTGACAAAAAAAATGCTACTTACAATCCCTGTGAAAAACTTGTAAAGAATTATTTATAATTGTCAACTAGGATCATATGATTCAGAGTTGGAAAGGACCAACTCCAAATCCTCATTTTGCAAATGAGGAAACTGAGGCCCAGAGACATTATGGCTTAGTAATACTACTATTAGCTCACACTTACATGTTGCATTAGTATTTACAAAGCACTTTACAGACACTTGATTTCACTGACCTCCTAAAGGTAGCACGGGTTAGTAAGTAACAATCAGGTTTTGAACCCAGTCATTTGACTCCAAATTGTGTTCTCTTTCCGCAACACTCCACTGCCTCCCACTTTATTTCTTTATGCATGTCTTTGCTAATGTCCTAAATTTGGGTTCCAGATGATCTAAAAACTCAAGTCCCTCTTCATCCTGCCGATCACTGCAACAGCCTACAGAGCCAGCTACAGATCCTTTTCCTTCATAGTTATATGGAAGGACATAGTCTTTAGAATACTTATGCTCTTCATCCTGTCCACAGTGATACACCTTCTGTAGATGAAGAAAACACATTTTATTATTATTTTTTTAAAAACACCTAAACATATTCACATAAAAATAATTTCTTTGATTTACCTTTTATTGTTTAATTTTTAATCAGAGTGTGTCCTCTAATGGATTCCTACATATAAAAAATGCACATGATTGGTCTAAATTATATTCATACTTAAATATTTAGCAAATAAATGTTTCTAGTGACTTACAAAGGTATAAATTGAATTATATATCTATTATAAAACTAACTTGCATTTTTCCAATTGAACCCACAAATATTTGAGGTTTTTATTTGTCTTCTAACTAAGTGCTTCACATATTCAGGGCAGATTTTGTGGTCTATAATGTTTACATGGAGCTACAGAACTATAATATTTCAATGCTTTAAACTGGATAATGTTTACATTCGGTGACAAATCTGTACATTAGTCAAAATGAAAGTGAAGAATCAAAATAATCTTGCCATTAACCATCTGGCTGATATTGTTAGCTGATGCCAAATGTTGTAAGTTCCCCATCTATCCCTGAATGCAGTTGATAGCCACATACATTATAGTTGCAAGCTATGTGCTTTAGTGCCTGATGCTTATTCTAAATACAACAAACATATTACATACATACAATTACAATATGCTCATCACTATATAAACCTTATTTAATTTCATGTTATCGATAGTATTAAAGCAAGAAAGATGTTGATTGTTTATGCCTGCACATAGTTACACTGGTTACCTTTGTCTAATACCAATTTAAAAGGTAATGCTAAAAGAATTTGTTGAAGATAAATCAAGGAAACCATAAGTCATGAGCTGTAAAATCAGGTGAAACTGTGGCAAAATGCTGTTGAAAGTAACAGGATGACCAGCAGCATCAAATTCACTGAAGTTTGTTATACGGGTGATCACACTATGACATAAAACACATACACATACACACACAAACTGTGAACTTGGAATGATAGGAGCTTACTTCACCAAGGCGAGGCTGTGTAAAACTATGCCAATCAGTATATGCATATCTGCCAGTATCCACCAGTCCCTGTCCTGATCCTTTATATGATTCCAGTGTCTGATGTCCTCCACTTTTGGTTGATTCTAAGGTGTAACCTTTGACCATTTCAAAACTTTGCTGTCCACCAGTTTTGGTTCCCTGTCCACCAAGCGTCCCAGTGCAGATAACTGGCTCACAAATATTTGTAGTCTGTGTGGGGAGTCTAATATTTGCTTCCTAAAGATAAATTTTTAAAAAAATATAAAATAAGTTAATTGTTTTTATTCCTTTCATATCATTTGATATTTCATATGTAACAATGTAAGACCATGAGATTCAGAAGTTACTGTCTTAGGTTTTTGTTTAAAATCCTAATGTGAAATGAAAACAATGAAGAGAGGACTCTCTAAAACATCAAATATGGTGAATATCTGTGAATAAAAAAGACCTGAATTGCACAGTAAAAGAACAACTTGGCATTTTATTATTATTTCCATAGATTTAAAGGATTTCATTTGTCTATAAAAGGCAAAGATGTTTACTGAAAGTTAAATTATTATTCCTTAAAAAATATGCTGGATCACATGACCAGCAAGAAGGTAGAATGGAGGTTTTACATGTTTTCAGTGTAAAACCTCAAAATAAATTAGGTGGCAGACAATATAGTAATTACAGCAGATTCCATAAGACAAAAAGGCAAAAAATTCTACCCCAACACAAGATTAAAGAAAAGAAAAGAAAATTAATTAACACCAGAAAATTTTAACATAAAATTAGCTTTCACTCAAGTGCTACTCTCTCAAAGAAATCCACATACCTCCTACAGTGAACAAAAGACACCTCTTTGGTTTGTTACTGGGGACCTGGATGTAAGAATCTCCCATGACTATGTTATGTATGCCTAAAAGACTTCCCCCATCCTTGCCCCATCCCACAAGAAGCAGTAGACATTGATTCTGCCCAGCCACGTAAGGCAAAGGAAGACAGCGGAATGAAGGAATAACATGTAGTGACAGCACTCAATGCTATAGGCCAGAGAGGAGTAGTATTAACCCTAATGAAAAAAGGACTGGAAAACCACATGGGGCCAGTCGTCTCTTCCATGAGCTTGCTCATGACAGGGACCCTAGCAGATAACCCCATATTCCCTAATGTAAAGAAACTGTTTTTTCAGGAGCCCGGCCTGTGCAACAGTGAAAGGAAAGGATCAAAGAGTAAGTGAAAGGAAAATATAAGAAAAAGACTTAAACAACATTAATTTTAAGAGACCACGCCTCAGTAAAAGTTAAGTACACACACAGCTTAACAGACAAAAAAGGACCACAGATATAAAAGCAAGAACAAGTAAACAAATACTATAATATGAAAGAAGGCAAACTGTTGTTGCTCAATAAAAATAGAATCCTGTGGACTCAGAATTACACCAGTTCAGAGATGAAAAGGATCTCAGTAGCTATTGATTCTAGTCACTCTGCCTCTACTTTAAGGTCTTTTTGAGGTAGAAACAACCATTTCCTTCCTTCTACTGGACTTTTGTATAGTTCTAATTATTAAGAGGCCTAACATCTATTTTTTTTGGGGGGGGTGATTTCTATTCATTTCTACAGGTTCTGCCCTCTGGGTTGGCCAAACAAAGTAAATCGAATCCCTCTTGTACATAACAGCCTAAAAGCAATTGAAGAAAACTCTCGCTTTTACTTGAACCTTCTCTTCTCTGGCTTAACAGGCCTAACTACTTTAGGTGATCACTTAAGCTTCAGTTCTGAATGACTTGGTGGTACAGTGAATAGAGCACCAGTCCTGCAGTCAGGAGGACTTGAGTTCAAATCCAGCCTCAGACACTTAACACTTACTAGCTGTGTGACCCTAGGCATTGCCCACTTCCCCCCCCAAAAAAAAAAACCACGAATAACTTGCTAATTATAGCTCTGGGAAATCCACATTTTGCTGCTCTTTCTCTCCATTTCCTGTCCTAACAAGCTTTGTTGCAGATTAAGAAATCACAATGATTGAAAGAACTACAAATTTATACTGCCCTACATTAAAGGGGCCTTCATTGCTGCTTGGCAGTCCTCCTATTCTACTTACTGATTTCTTATCTCATTCTTCACAGTGACTGTTCCAAAATTATTCTTCTATCTTCAAATCCTCAATTTCACTGCATTCTTTCCCAGAGTTAACAGCCTGCAGCCTAGGCTTCTACTTTACTGAAAATATAGGAACCATTTGACCTCTAAGTAGCTTTCTGTCCTAATGAATGATCCTTGGAAGAAAATTAATCTGGCAGGTACATGTAGGGTGTATTACACTTTGAGAGAGTCTAGAAAATTGTTAGGAAGCTATTGCAATAGCCCAGCTGTTAGGTAAATTTCAGTATGTTAATACTTCTAAATCTCTCATGGTTTATTCATCTGAATAGTTTTATAACTAGAGATGGTGGATAGAGGGCTGATCTTGTAATCTAAAAGAACTGAGTTCTACTCCTGTCTCTGATACATCCTTGTTGCCTACTATCCTGGTAGAAAGTCACCCTCTCAGTGCCCTTGGCAACCCCCTAAAACTCAAAGTTACAGATTAATGTCCTCTTCTCTTCACAAGCATGACTTCTTCAATCATTCCCTTTCCTTCTCCAATCTTAAATCTCTCTTTATCCTCTGGCTCCTTCCATGCTGTCTATAAGCATGGTTAGACTCTGAAGGAGTGGGGGAGGGACCATTTCATTTGACTCTATAATTCCCTTAAGCTATCATTCTATTCTCTATCACAGTCAAACTATTTTAAAAAATTATCAACAGTCACTGCCATGACTTCCCCACATCTCACACACTTTTCATCTTTTCACAACCTGGCTTCTGATCTTGTTATTTGATTAAAACTGCTCTTTTCAAGTGTATCAATAATATCATTTTCTAAATTATTCATCTTTTCTCACTACTCACTACTACTCTTGACCTTTCCATAGCATTTGACATCTTTGACCATCCCATTTCTTGGATACTCTCTCCTGACGGGTTTTTTGTTGATGCAGCTTGGATATTATATGTTGTCCATATAATTTTGTTGTCCATATATACACATAATATGTTGCACAAAGTAAAATATATAAACACACACATATGTATGTATATATATATATATTTCAAGCTAAATGAAAATTTGATTATATGTTCTTTAAGATTATTCAAATAACTTCTCTGCATAATAGTTATTAAGCAAGAGTTGGCATATATATGTACCTGTGTATGCATATATACAAATCATATATAAAATTATATATCATATATTACACATATACATACACACATGTACACATAGTCATATGAATATATATACAACTTTATATAGATAGATATACAGAGATTATATATGTAATAATACATGTTTATATCATGTCTTAAATCTTACAAAGCATTTTATATTTAGAATCCCATTTGAGCCTTGCAATAACCCTGTAAGGTGTATACTACATATTATTTTCATTTTACAAATGAAATGAGGAAACCCTCTTTGAAACACAAAGCAATTAAGTGACTAGCCCATATCTTCATGAGTCAGGATTAGGACCTAAATCTTTCATGATTTCATGTCCAGAACTCTTTTCATTAATCTACACTATCATTCAGTTAAAGCCACACTCTTCCACTAACCATTTACTTCAATTGCAGCTATGTGGAAATGAGACAGGGGGAAGCCCAATAATTTTCTCTTAATGCCCTATGTTTTTGAAGAATTGAGCCAAGCACCATGTTTGCTTAATCTATAAAATAATAAAGAAGAAAATGTAAACAATTAAAGGAGATCATTGAATGCCACCTTGCAATTTATCATACAATCAAAAACAACCCCCCCACCACCAAAAAGATATAAGATATTTACCATCACTTCTTCTCCTGGGGCTTCTGTGTTTGATACAATTAAATTCTGTTGAGCTATATCTTCTGGAAAACATTTTTGTACTGTCTTCTTAGTGGTAACACAGAAACATGTAAACAGGACACCTAAAACAAAACACTTTAGTTAAACCTATTTGTCTAAATTTTTATTGGATGGCCTTCTTCTGGGGATACACTCAAGATTCTTATCTTATTGGTAGAACTGTGAATTCTTCTCAAGAACTTTGCTACCTCTTACAAATTAAAAAAAAAAGCACCACCTATTGGTGTAGACACATTGGGAAAGACAGTCATGAGCTTTATAAAAAGATGTTAATAAATTAATTCATATATTTTAGTTTCAATATGTAGGTAAAAAAAACTCTGTCACATAACCAAAATATCATTAGAAAGCTAAATAAAAATACAGAATTAGATCATGAATTCATTAATATTGTTCATTGGCAATGCACCCAATTAGATCCTTGACATAATACATGACAAAACTGATTAATAAGCACTGGGGCCAAGAAACAAGAGAAATGTTGGCCTCTATGCCCAAGTTCTGTTTTGTGGACAGCTTAGAGGCCATACTTTTACGCCACGAAGTTAAAAGAACGATAGTAAGCCATCCAGTACATAGCTTCCTCTGTGGGAGATTTATAGGAAAACAAGGGAGGAAAAATCAGACAGAAAAAGGAATAGAGGAGTTGTGATTGGCATTGTTAGAAGTACCCACACAAATAACATCACAGATCTTTCAAAGAATTAGACTGTTTCCAGCTCTTGAGTTATTTTCAGAAATTGACACCATCTTTTCTTTTCAATTCTGTTTTGAGAGGAAGACCAAGACCCACCAAAGGTCACATAAGTGATAGTAAGTAGAAGAGATGACATTGGATTCTAAGTCCTTTAACCTCAAATCCACCCCACCCTCATTATCACATGTGGCCCTTTAGGAGCATTTGGGGTAGAAGGACTATCTCCACCATTTGCTTCATCATCCTGGTCTCCCCATCTCCTACTTCCTATTGTACCCTTATCTCCTTCCCATCTCTCCAAGTTCTTAGCCAGCTGCAAGCATTTAGAAATAAAATTAATCAAAAAGAAAAATTACATGCTCCAAAAGCCTTGGAGAGATGATTTCAACTTTTTGGGTCTAGAACTATATAGGGAAATGTAAACAATTCTAAGCTTTCAAGGTATTTATTGCATCAAATCAGTCTTGAGATTAAGCTATCAATGGTTTAAATAATAATAGCTGACTTTATATTGTGCTTTAAAATTTGTAAAGTATTTTTGATATTGTATGCCAACTCTACCTTATGAAGTTGATACTACAAGTTATCCCCATTTTATAAATGAGAAAACTGGGGCCTAGAGAAATCAATTAAATGACTTGCCAGGATTACAGCTAGTTAGCATTGGAGGCTGACTTTAAACCCAAGCCTTCCTAGTTCCAAGTCCAGGATCCTCTCCACTACTCCATGCTACTGCCTCCAAAACAAATCATAAGTTCATAACATAGTGATTAAGAAACAGAGCAATTTTTAAAAAGCGAATATAGACATGATCTGAACATCCAACTACACTATAAAACTCCTTGGAGGAACTATCTTCTATTTCTTTTCTACTTTCCCACCTCCCTCTCTACCATCCATCAATTACATACAACTACACACAAGAAATGAAATGGCATGATGGAGAATGAGGCTCAGTGTAGGAGTATTTGAAGCCCTGTCCTGTAGCCACATAGCATCTTCTCAAGGTGAAGAAGCTAGCACTTATAATTTCATTATTTTATTACTTAAATCTTGAAATGATTTCCAGAACAGTAGCTTTACTTCAAGGTGTCTGACTTCTACCATTTAGAGTGACACTATTTAAAGCAAAAGTTTCCATATTTTCAAATTGACCACATGATAAGATATCTATATGTTTCAAGGTGCATAAATTTAATTTATTGCATTAAGCTTTATTTACAATTGCTACTAACTTGAGTAAGCCACCAAGGTACCCAGAGGCAGTAAGTTACATGACAATAGTGGGCAACTGGAAGTTAGTGTCTACTAGCCTATGTGTATTCCGTGATTAGGCTAAAGGCATGTTAAGAGCCTCAGGTAGGCTCTAGAATGAAGCAAGATGCATTTGGCTGATGGGGCAGCTCTAGGATCAAGTAAATTGGAGTGGCTGATGGAGCACCTGTTAGATGTTGGAAATTTAAATATTTAAATAGAAAAGATTCAAGGCAAAGTCAGCATGGAACAATGGAAAGAGAACCGGATCCGGAGTCAGAAGACCTGGGTTCTATTCCCTGTGTCTATTACCTATTCCCTGTGTAACTTTAAGGAAGTGACAACCCCCTGGACCTCAATTTCCAGATATATAAAGGGAGGGTTAGATTAGATCACCTCTAAGATCTCTTCTAGATTTAAATCTATGATCCTATGATCCCATAGCACAGTAATGAGCCATAGCATAGACTCTTGCATTTAATTTTATTTTAAGAAAATTACTAGTTCATATCTGAATAGGCATAGTTCTAAAGAGGAATATAGCTCCTGCTACGGATAGTCCAAGGTAAGTTCAAGTAGCATACTCAGGAATATATCACATTGTTTTTTTTCCCTAAGGAGCACAATGAGCCTGAGGCCATGGTCAGGAGGTGGTCTCTGTGACTTACAGGAACATTCCAGGGAATTACAAAATGAGATGCACTCTTTTTTTGGTAATGTTTGATACAGATAATCCCCAAACATGACTGTCAGAACTGTCATGATATCTCAGACTGAGAAAAGAATAATAGTAGCTTTAAATTGTCGTTCTCCAATCACCTCCCTCAAGTAGGTATTGCCCAACTCCAAGTTTCCTCATCAAATGCATCAATAAAGTGAGAGGATTGGACAGAGTGAAATCTAAGTCCTTATCTAGGTCTGTAATTCCATTTCTATAGAAGTTCATGCATTGGATGATATTATGAAAAGGTATTGACGATCACAAAAAACCCACATTTAATTTAATTTGAGGAAAGACAAGATTAATAATTATACTTACATAGTAGCAGTGCAGAACCCAGCACCATTGCAAGGATAGCCCATTTTCCAAGATGTATATTTGAAGGTGATATATCTCTCCACTGACCAGGTATCATCTTACAATCACTCGGTAAAGTACAATCACACAATCTGACTTCTAAATGAGATACTCGAGCAAGGCCATGTCGATCTTCTACTTTAATGGGCACTGAATAAAAATCACTCTTGAGACCTTCCTTTGGATGAATTAAGACAGACGTATCTGGGAGAAGAGAAGTGTTAATCTAATATTAATAAGACCTTTCTATGCAAGTTAATAACCAACTTATGTATTTTGATAGAAGTTCTTAGGTAAAAAGAAAAGTCAGGTGGGCATTTTTATTTGGGGTTATTTTGAGGATAAAAGAAATAACATTCTCCCTTAACTTTTAGAGAAAAGTTCAGTCTTTATCTGGTGTTAGCATTTAAACAGCAGCAAAACAAACTACACATTCCTATATGAACATTAACATTTTTTGTTCTTAAAAGCCTTATTCATTAAAGGATTTGCAGAGTAGGAAAGTATAGACAGTACTTTGTAAATAACACCTGTTTATCCTTTCGTAATATCTGAGACTGTTACAAACTAATGCTAACAACTTCATTACAATATAAAAAGATAAGGATTTTAGTGAATTACAAATAGAAATATTTCACATCTTTACATACCAGACTTTTTTTGTATTGTCCAAAGTTTACTAGACTGATTACCAATATAAATTTAAAAGGCGGACCATTTGTTGGTCCATCATGATCCACAGCTTCTATCACACCACCTTCATCCCCATGACGGCAAATTGTCACATTTTTCTTAATTATTGGTGAATTATCATTTTCATCTTCCAAACGTACTACCAATGTTCCCGTGCATGATCTTCCAACTAAAACAGAAACATGATAACTCTTGGATTAAAACTGATCGGTTTCAGTTCATTATTATTACATTAAATTAACAGATCTACAATTGGGATAGCTAGGTGGCACAGTGGGGGGAAAAAAAAACACCTGGCCTAAAGTCAGGAAGACCCATATTCAACTTCATCCTCAGACATTTACTAGCTATTTGCCTCAATTTCCTCAACTGTAAAATGGGGATAATATTCCTAGAGTTGTTGTAAGGCTCCGATGAGATAATATTCGTAAGCTGTCTGGCTCAGTGCCTGGCATATAGGAGGTACTATAATAATTTGTATTGTTATTATTATTAACCTCGGACACTCATTAGCACCATGACCTTCCACAAAAATCACCTAATCTCTTTGGGACTTAATCTGGGGAGAAGATGGCTCAACTGACTTAACAGGGAACAGACCAACTGATCTTAAAGGTCTTTGTTGGTGCTAAGAGCAAAATACTTACTCATAAAGGCCCTAAAATTAATGACAGCTCAAAGTGAATTCAAAATTCCTTTTTAATTGTTTTCCTCATTTCATTAAATATGCAACATTTACCCCATTCAAGTATATTTAATCGGTGCTATGACTGAATGTTAAATTTACAACAAATTTACAATGAGGAGATGGGACTAAATCATCTTAAGTTCCTTTACTGTTCCAAATCTAATATTTGGGAATATAGTCTTTGTTTATACTTCAAATATCTATTTATTTATTTGTTTTTTTGATGAGGCAATTGGAGTTAAGTGACTTGCCCATAGTCAAACAGCTAGTGAGCGTTATGTGTCTGAGGCTGGATTTGAACTCTGGTCCTCCTGACTCCAGGGCTGGTGTTCTATCCACTGCACCACCTCCCTGCCCCTCAAATATCAATTTAGATAACAGAGTTGAACTGGGTCAATGACCACTGATAAAATTACTTACATATAATAATGGAGAGTGAACCTTTTCATATTCATTTGTGATCAAAACATAAATTAACAAACTAACCCTTAGTTTTGTGAATTGAACAAAAATAGGTACAACTGATTAACTTACTGTTCTTCCTTGCTTGGAAAATAACCATCTATTCATCTCATACACATATACATATGTAATAACACAGGTATCATTTTGAATATATTATATATATTATAAAAGCCATTGATTTACATTATATATGACTATAATCAATGTTCAGGTTGATAGAATTTCAAAATCAAAATTGAGTGAGAAAATATTTAAAGAATATTTCATATTTAGCAAAACAACAAATCTAATTTTTTTCATGACTTTAATCAATGAAATAGTAGGAAACCACTATACCTATTTGAAATATTTTTCAGTTCAAATATATTTTAAAGTGTTTACAAAAAAAGGGCCACTACTCCTTTAAAAATAAGTCTGTGTCAATGTTTTATGATAGTGTAACTACTATATGTTACCTCATAGGATAAGGAAAAGGTTTTGGAAAATCTTAAAATATTGACAAAAGTTAATAAAAAAAATAGGCTATATGAAGATGTAACTAGACTGCAAAGGAAAGATAACTAGGTGATAGTGGAAGAAGCCTTCTGATTGGACTAGGAGAGCCATTCCAATGCTAGATATGTTTGCTTTTAAACCATGTACAAATACCTTTATATTTATGTAATTATTTGTTCTTATCCAACTCTAGGTAGGGTTTGAATCAGATTACCTTTAAGTTATTTTCCAGATCTAAGATTTACTATATGTGTATGATCTCCAAATGTACCTATCTAGCTCTAATTCCCCTCCTGAGCTCTAGTCCTGTAATAGCAATGGCCTGATGGACATCTCTACCTGGATGTTTTGTGGGAAAAGCAAACTCCCTGAATACAAAAGAGACACCATGATCTTTCCCCCTAAAACTTGCCATTGGCAGTTAGGTGGTGCTGGTCTTGGGATCAGGAAGTCCTGCTGAGTTCAAATCTAGTCCCATATATTTACTAACTGTTTGACTCTGGGCAAGTCATTTAATCTCTCTGCCTTAATTTACTCAACTGTAAAATGGAGGTCATAATACATCCCAGAGTTGTGAGGATCAAATGAAGTATTTATAAAGTGCTTAGTACAGTACCTGGCACATAGTAGGCACCTTTTAAATTCTTGCTTCCTTCCTTCCTGGCTGGGTCCTGAACTTGGTAAAATATCTCCCTCACCTGTGCCTTTGCAAAGGGAGCTCCTTCTGCTTAGACTACACTACTCTCTCACCTCTCCCTCTTAGAATCCTTACTTCCTTTGAGGTTCAACCCAAAGGCCACCTCGGTATTTCTCCTAATTGTTAGTGTACTCTTCACTAAAGTTGTCTTGCATTTACTTCTGCTCCTCAGGGTTCCATTTTTTGTTTGGTTTTGTTTTGACTGGTTGTGTATCACACAGTACTGCTCTTAGACAAGGACAAGCATCTCAGGATACCTTCACACTCTGGAGAATGCCATACATCTCAGGCACAATAAATTGTGAGATTAGCCGTCAAGTGTAAACCATTTTTCTGGAATGCTTGGCACACAATGTTACAAATAGCTGGGAGGATTCACTCTTTAGCCATTAGTGGTTAGCCAAGCTGTCCAGAATTTTGATGCTGGGTGATTATTCTAGTTCATAGAGATGTGATAACTTATTGGTGAGTGGCACAGCTGGCATGGCTGATACTGATTTAGTGATTTTTGTGTAAGGAAGCATTTCCAGGAAAAGTACTACATAGCTCATGCCAAATCCCTGTAAAATTACTTTATAGCAACAACTTAAAAAAGCTTGGATTGGAATACTTATCCAAGTGACCACTAAAGGGTTAAGAGATTTCTTCTACATCCCATATTTTATGAAATCATTCTTCTTTTCAAGATCGTGTCCTTCTTGTTATGAAAAATTTCTCTCAAATAGTCCTATACCTATTTTTGGCAATTGGGTTAAGTGACTTGCCCAGGGTCACACAGCTAGTAAGTGTCTGAGGTCACATTTGAACTCAGGTTCTCCTGACTCCAGGGCTGGTGCTATAGTCCTGTATCTTAAAGGTGTATGTTTAATGCACAAATGACAATAGTGATAGGTGATTTTGACCTCATATTTGAACAATGGAAAGAGAGACATGTTAAAAAAAATTACTTGACCAAAAAATGCAATTGTGGCTATAGTCACCACTCATTATAATCCAACATTTGGCCATTATTTAAAATATAATTTTGTGTATTGTGCCACATTAACATGAGATGAGGTGATAAAAAATATGAATGTCATCAGTAAAATTCAAAACCCCAAACTTTTTTGAAAAAGTAATAAATAAATAGATAAACCCTTAGATGCAATGATGATTTAAAAGGACATTTGCATGGAAATTCATATAGAAACCCTATCAAATATACTAATCATGAGTTGCATGGTAACATAACCTAAGTCTCTTAATATTGAACTTTCTTATGAATTTTTGCCTCCTCCCTTTTTGGTATACTTTTCTATGTGAGTTGATAAAAGTACCAAATATGAATACAAATTTGTATGAATGTACTTTAGATAAAAGTTATGAAATAGACTGAATATGCTTAGTTTGTTGCAGAAAAATCAAAAGTAAAATATTGATATTGAAAATTTGCATCTATATTCAAGTCTTTAAAACTATATTGGAACTTATTCAGTAAAATTGCTCAAAGATGTATGTGAGAATTTTGGATACTTTAGGAGAAAAAATTTTTAACTATATTAAAATTTAATTTTGTATTTCTTATATTCATATAGTATAGTGATAAATCAATATATCTCATGGATCCATAAATTATGTACTAATTTTTAAAGTCAAGTTCATTATATAAACAAGTACCCCAGAAAAGTGGCTGAATGCCCTAGGGCAGCCCCTGGTTTTGTACGTAGTAAGTGCTTAAAAATATTTGTTGAAATAAATAAGTTCAGGGA